GGGGGGGGGGCTTGGGTCTTCTTAAATCCGCTGTTGTTTTTTTTCCATTTTATTTGGGGCGGTGGGGGGAAGAGAAGAGGGGGGGGGGGAGAAAAAAAAAGTCCATCAGGGCAGGCCAGGGAGCCCGGCTCTCGTTCAAGGAGAGGCAGGAGAAGGCAGTTCTAGCTTTTGAAGTCGGCGTCTCCGCAGCTCAGCTGCGTTGGGCTCTTCCGGGGAGGAGGGGTCCCCATCGTGGCTGGAGGGCTGCGTGGACCCCTCTGCTTTGTCTGGGGACGTATCTGGAAATGCCAAAGGGAGAACGATAACTGGACAGGGGCTCTGACGAAGGAGTTAATTATTATTTTTTTTTAATGGTTTTTAATTATACATTTTCATTTGTATAATACAGAGGTTTCCAAACGTGGCAACTTTAGGACTTGTGGGCTTCAAGTCCCGGAATTCTCCAGCCAGCCATGGTGGGAATCGAACTTCCTGGCTGTGGGCAGAGTTAGCCTGCAAGGCTGCATTTTAAGCACTGTCAGGGTGGGCAATAGCAATAACATTTAGACTTATATACCGCTTCGCGGTGCTTTCCAGCCCCCTCTAAGCGGTTTACAGAGTCAGCCTCTTGCCCCCAACAATCCGGGTCCTCGTTTTACCCACCTCGGAAGGACGGAAGGCTGAGTCAACCTGGAGCCTGGTGGGATTTGAACTGCCAAACTGCAGGCAGCTGGCAGTCAGCAGAAGGAGCCTGCAGTACTGCACTCCAACCACTGTGCCACTGCGGCTCATTAACTGAACAACTGCACTCATTCACTTAACAGGTGTGGCCAGAAAGGCCGTAAAATGAGGCAAAACTCACTTAACAACCATCTTGCTTATCAATGGAAACTGGGGGCTCAATACTGGTCGCAAATTGAGGACTCCCTGTACTGGGAAAAACGCTGGGGCCTCCAGGCCAGACCCCTCTTGCCTGAGTTTACCTGGTGAAGAGGTGCTGTCCGCTGGCTGGGAGGTGGAGGTGGTGGCTTCACTGGAATTCGATTCAGGGCTAGTCGGGGTCTCAGGAGGGGCCATTGGAGGGGCTGAAGCACTCGGGGGCGTTGGAGCAGCTCGAGGCATCCTGGACAAGAGACACAGCAACCCAGTTTGGGAGGGGGGAGATTTGTTACCATCCAGAATCACACAAGTGTGATGGGCAGAATAAGAATTTAAGGAGGGTGGGAAGGAAGGAAGGAAGGAAGGAAGGAAGGAAGGAAGGAAGGAAGGA